CGTATGTAGTAGTAATGCGTAGTAACACAAAAAAGATTGAAAATAATTTTTACTGGCTCAATACCGGCTCCCAATAAAAAGTGCATATTTATCATATCTTGCCTGTTGTATGCCTGTACCAATGAGGCATTTCACCCAATATCAGAATTCATTCGGCGGCTGGTTAAGTATGTTACATTGAAATAATTTTGGAGTCTTACCACGTCATTACAGTCCATGCCACCACGTCTGGTCATGCTATCTCTGACGACCGTGCATCTTGACAATAGCCCTGCAGCATAGTACCCATTGCAAAATGCTATCATGTTCAAACACACTGCATCCTCCCCGAAGGTTTCCATACTCCATCTAGTGTACAAGGACGATGATTTCCCAGCGTCTGTTTCAATTGTTCAATCCCTAAGGAAATCACAGACTCTATCTCCAGACACTTGACCGGCATGTCTTCGTATGGAATACTACGAATCCCCGTTTTACCCTCCAGCTGCTTGAGATATACGATGGTTGAACAGATATGTCATCGAAACAACTTGTGTATACGTGAATTCTGTCGCTTTTCCAGATGAAGATATTTTTTTAAATTTTGTTATTACTCTTATCTGGGACATGTGGATGGCTTTTGCCACTGACCTTTATGTTCCTGGATTCTCACCTGTTACAAGACATCACACATCGCTTACAATGGTTGAGGTACGATTTGTTCCAGGCCACTTTCTGATTGATCCTAGTTGTTCTATATTCGTTGGGATATCCCCGATCTGAACACATCTTTATAATATGAGTATATGAATATCTTGCGTCGAAAAAGGCTGTCACAAACACTTCCCAAAAGCGATCAGTTTTCGGTAGCATTAAGTCACCTACGTAACGACAAACAATGTTGAAGTAAAGTTCTTATGCATACCGTTCCACTGCGACTTTATATCAGATGTGGTTGTCACGTGAATTGATTATTTGTATAATCAAAAGCGTTTTAATATAACGTTCTCAAACCTCTGCAAACTTACAAAGTCATAATTGAAATATTAGTTTTATCATAATATAATATTATATACACATTACTACTAAATGTTATGTTTCACCATCTAAGTTGTTCTACCCTCTAGACTTGTAGTCTTATAAACGAATGATATAAATAGCTCACAATTACGTGAATACCATAAATCCTTTTATAACTTTATATAGTAATTTTTCAAACATTTGATTAATATTTTTGCACTTAGTTACAAATTTGTACGTTCAAGACTTTCTTCGCACTTGACCTACATGCTGAATAGCTTCTTTGAGGAGTACTAAACATGTCACGTCGTTCACGTATGAGCACAAAGAAGTCAGGATGTCTGGTTTCCCTTTTCTGATAATGAAGCTTGATTGATGAAGTAGTGTTCTGGTGGAGTTTAGAACTGTATTATAGTCATAAGCAGAATTAGTTTTCCCTCAAAATTCACTTGAAATTCTTTCAAATTTGCACTTATTCTCATAAAGTCACGTATTCATCATCCAGCAGTCGTTAACTGACTCGAAAGTCCAAAAAAAAATAGAAGTTGCTGTTATCATTTTCAGTCCAAACTTACAATTCACTTGCCGTATTCTATAGTTTACTTTATTGTAAATTGGACTGACAAATGTTTTGTTTTTCTTACTGGCTGTATACAACTCATTTATACTTCACACTTCACTATTTTTCCTTCCGAATCTCTCAACCAACTTACTGCCAAAAAAGGTGTATAAACAATCAGGCCCAGATATCTTCAAAAAAAAAAAAAGTTTCGTCTTGCTCATAATGTAAACTCGTTAAATCAGGTTTTGTTTTTGTGACACTGTTACACATGAGGATTTGGGTGGTTTGTTCCTTTGTCTTTACTTATTATAGCTAGAAGGGACATAAAATAAACAAGCGGTTTATAATTAATAGTTCATAGATTCACTATCAGCTGGAAAATTGAGGTATGATTATTATTTCATCAATATATTACACTATGCGAGTAATGATTTAACAGTTAATAACTTGGGCAAGGCTAGCCTAGTGGTTGGCTTGTCGGGCTGCGTACCTTAAGGACCAAGATTCGAGTCGCGATATACTGCTGAAGACGCTTCATACTTCACCTATGTAGGTTATAACTGCGATAGTGAAAATACTTTGTTAATAACAGGTGCTCTCTCTAGCTGATCAACAGTAAATTGGCGATAGCTATAACTAAACCTTACCCACAGTGAGTCAGCGACGAGTTTGCGGACTTATAACGCTAAAATCTAGGGTTCGATTCCCCGCAGTAGACAGAGCGCAGATAGCCTATTGTGTAACTTTGCGCTAAAAACAAGTAGTTCTCTGACTGGAGTGTTTAGTCCATTGGTCGCATAAAGGGGCCATTAAGTTTGAAAATGCCAAACACCAAAGTTAATTATACATATGGCATATAGTAATATTTAGAAATAGATATGACTTAGTTAATTATATTCTTGATAAAAAAAATCACCGCATTAATAAAGTGTTACTTTAATTTCAAATATGTGTAGAAGTTGAAATTAGTAGAGTAGTAGTCAAACAGTGCTGACTCATGAAATTCACACTGTTGCCATGATCTTGTATTGACTTATGACGCGAACATCCTGGAAAAATTATTTATCTTTAAGTACATAAACTTATAATAACCTATGATTACAACTGATTATAAATCATTTTCTCCGTACTTGTTTACTGTCTTTGTGACAAATTTAAAAAAAAATCTTAAATCATAAGTTACATGAAATTTCTTATGTACTATTTAAACCATTAATCGACAAAAATCTGTGAGTGTATGTGTCGCTTATAACTGGCAAATAGATAGATTCATTTCACTAAACCTGACAAGTATCTTCAGAGCCCCCCTCCCCCCGGAAGTGACATTGGCGTTCGGATCCACTCCTCCCCTGTGTCTTCCCCATGTATTGAACTGGTCAGCTAGTACAAAATTAAATGGTGAAAAAACCCTCTTTCTATTTCCTGAGGAATAAGTGACCTTTGAAGCCACGAAACAGGTAGAAAATAATAAAGAAACGTTCTCGTATTTTAGTAGATGTATCCACAAGTGTAAATGTGTATGTTTTGGTTATATATATATATATATATATATATGCACACACAAACTATACAGTACATGTAACATCCTACTGAACGTTATGCACAATATACTCTAGGAGAATAAGCATATAATTAATCAGTGTTACATCAAATGATACACCATTTTTCTCGTTGATCAAACTCATTGTGTAATAGCTAGTTATAAACACTAAACCTTTTCCAGTAATGGCAAATTACTAAAGAACAAGCATAGTCCCCGATATCCAAGGTTCTCCAAGAACATATTTTGCACTCAAAAACATCAGGATATCTAACCAAGCTTACTAGAATAGTAAGTAAACATTAACGAAAGGTTTATAATTCATTATCAAAAACGTGTAATGTTTTCCTTTTTCATGTGTTTGTTCGTAGTTAAGCAGAAAGCTACACAATGGGCAATCTGTGCTGTGCCCACCACGGATATCAAAACCCGGTTTCTAGCGCTACAAGCCTTCAGACTTACCGCTGTGCTATTCGTGTTGGTGGGAGGGGGTTCAAGCGAAAGCGCACTTACGGTTAGTTTGTGTCTTTCATAAAAACAAATTTTCGAGTTTGATAAAAATAACTTTTTCTCTGGTGTAACTTTCCTTTCTGAATTATAAAATTATATGCATATATATATATATATATATATAACTAAATAGTGGCAGTTTCTCTGATTTTGTTTGGTCGTGAAGGAAAATTAAATGAAGAAATCCAGTATTATTAAAAACAAAACAAAAACTGCAGAGGGTCTTTTTCTTCACCATTCTAGTATTTTCCCATACTCCTTTGGCTTTTGGCGTATAAATAGTAACTCTTAAAGCAAATCTACTATTACTTTAGCCAAAAAACGATACATCGTTGCAACAAATTAAACTAGGCCTGTTGCTAGCTAATATGGATAACCTAGTAAATGGTTATCTAGTTCCATGTAATAAATACTTCTTTAAAGAACAATTAATTAACAGTAATGTTCCATAAATATTCAATCCCGTTCTTCATCAAAATATCTCTAAAGTTAAGTATTCTGTTACGAAGAACAAAACACCAGTTACACGATGAGAAAAAAAAATGCAGAAATCAGGAAAAGATCAATTTATTATAAAAACTTCTCATTTTACACGAATTCCAAAGAAGAAAATGTTAGCTAGTGAAAACGTGGCATCCTCCTTTTAATAACATTACATCATAAATAATGCAAGAATATTTTTATAAACTATTTTCTATGCAAACCTTCTCAGGAATTAACTACATAAATTATAAAACAAAATCTGACCATATCCAATATTACTGGTTTCTTGATCGTTGGAACATGAAATAAGACAGTCATTCCTTTGGAGCAAAAAAATTAATTCTGAAGTTTTCTTCAGCAGCATTAAGACCTTTTGCCCTATAAATTAGTTTCAGGAAATTTTAAAATTAAATAGTGGAGGCTGTTATTGTTACTTGTTAGGAAATAGTATGTTAAAACTATTGCTTTGTAATGTTTATAATCCTAAATATTATACTCTTATCAAGTCTTTTATTGATGGTCACTTATATAGCCAAAATTTAAAATATAAGCCTTGGCATAGCAAAGAAAGCCCAATCTGTTACACTGCTTTAATTATCTTACTATCTCCGTTAAAGTGATTGCATTTATCTTAGTTTTATTTTAATGTGCACACATTTTATTTCAAAAAACAATTTAATTTAAGCTTTTTGTTTAGCTGACAATTTTTCCTCATTTCATACTCTGGGCATACAAATAATATTCGGTCATTACTAAAGACTAGATTTTAAAAAAAGAAAATAATTTTTATATTTCCAAGCCTTCATTACAAGTCGTTAATTAAGTCTCTCTCTGGATACCTCAATCAGATGGAACAATTATGATAAACGTAATAAAACATGTTAGAAATTTATGAAATTTAATAAATAAACTGTAGAATAATGATAAAAATTTTATTCTGAATTTCATGTTACAGACATCTTAATTCATGAAGTACAACAGTTTACAACTTAGCGAGTTAAATATTCTAATTTTATTCAAGAATATTGCACATTACCAAGTAATGACTATTAATACAGAGATAGAAGTATTTGTAATTAAAGTAAACGATTAAAACTTCATGAATTGCTGATCAGGTGCTGCAATTCAAATAAGAAGTCTTTAAAGTTTTAAGAAAATTTTTAAAACTCTGAAAACAATCAGAACTGCTGTAAACTATGTTTTTAATGTTTCCGTAAAGAGGTCAGAAAATGAAAGGAAAGTGTCTTCACTCTGTAGTGGTTCAATTTCATTTTACAATCTGTAAGAATACTCCATATTAGATGTGCTGTCAGCTTTGGGAAGGATTTTAAAAACATAGATACAAGAATAATTATGGTTGGGGTAATGTGGTGTAACCTTACAAGGTCTGATGCTTTACAAGAACTGCAAGTTGAAACACAGTATAATTTCAGTCTATTACCTTTCTACATATATCATACACAACTACAAAACATAAACTTTAAAGAACAAATAACTTGCACATTGATTTCTAAGCAATTTTGTTTGTTTAAAAAAAATGTTTCATTCCATATTACTCCTATTATCCTTGTTTCTTTCATAACCAGCAATTTATAATTAAAAAAACATCAATTACAACAGCAGTCATGTAAAACCATATCTGGATCATTCATATCAATTAGTAAAATAAGGAAACTGTTTGGGTCAATGATACATTTAAAATTTTTTTATGCTTATTCAGGAAGATTATTTCAAGAATGTCAGAGTTATACAAAAAAATAGCACTTTTTAAAATTATATGTTGATTCACTAATTATAGTTTTTACAAACCATTTCCACTTACTTTTTAGCATATTTTTATCTGTAACAAAAAATTATAAATGCAATCTTTATATATATTAGCGTAATCAAATACACACACACACACATTTATTTTTTTACAACACCACTTGAAAGAACAGATCACAAAACAAAATATAATCATTTATAATTAGGATTTGTTTCCATATAAACCACAGCAAAATTCAGAACTCTACAACAGTGGTGTAATAAGAAAGTTAATTAAAAGACTAACTGTGAAACTGACAGAAATACATGATGTAGTGGTCACACATTGCTTATGTATTCTGTACAACAACAACTTTCTTCCTGATGGAAAGGAAAAAGAAGTGTGTCCTTCTATAATTACTGCAGTCTATTGCTTTAAGGTAACTGCTAGTAGTCGTATCTTTTAATCTCCTATTTTACACTAGCAACCCCTTCAATTACTAGCTTATCTCAGTTATCTCAACATCTTCACAATTCTTTCAGCTTCTGTCATCCTTATCTGGTTAAACCCAACACTTTTCATTAATAATGTTCCTAAAATATTCTTATTTGTTACAGTTTATCTAATTCTTTTCACTAGCTTGTCTCAATTATCTTAACATCTTCACAATTCTTTCAGCTTGTGTCATCCTTGTTTGGTTAAACCCAACACTTCTCATTAATAATGTTCCTAAAATATCCTTATTTGTTACAGTTTATCTAATTCTTTTCACTAAATATCTATTCTTGATAATTACAGTTTAGTGTAACCCTTGCATTATTCCTGCAGTTAATATTATCCGTAACATGTCAATTTTTGGTCATTTAAGGGTTAATCCTGTTTTATCTCTCACTATTCCTTCTATAAAATGTTATAAAAAATCTGTATATTAAATTCTGATTTATTACACTTTCCTATTCTAGAACTATAACAAATTTTCATATATATGTCTTTACGGCAATAGTAACCAGCCTAGTTTTGATACACACATTGTATGTTAAAGCTGAAATCAGAAAGAATTTAGAATTACAAGGTATACAATTTTTTCACACAAACACTTTGGTGATAAGCATTTCTAGTTATTCACACATACAAACGCATATGCACAAATGCTGAGGCAAATTTGTGTGTTATCTTTAAATCTTTAGACTTCTGTACAACATACAACATGGCCAACAATCTGAACCAAACCTACATTCTGAAGGACATGTGTACAAATCTTCTTTCAAGTACCCTTGTGTGGGTTGAACAATATTATATTGTGCGTATTCCAATACAAGTCAGAATAATGGTACACTAAAGACCAAACATATGGGATGAAGAACTCTTCAGGCTGTTCTTCTTCTACATACTTAAACTTCAGCTCCGGGAATTTCTGGAATTTCAATATGGTATTTTTTACAATGAAATACTGTTCAATATACAATATGTATACTACTAGATTAAAGAAAGACAATGTAGAAACCATGCTATCTTATTTAGCTGTGAATCACAAATGACACAAAAATTACAAAAAGTGTAATAAATGAAAAATAATCATATTCTTTTCTTAACTTTATGAGATATATATAACTGAATAAATATAGTATTACTAGAAGATGCCCAATGAAACCATTCAATGGTATATTTCTTAAAAATAGTAATGAATAAATAAAAAGTGTGCAGTCAACCCAATGCCTTGGATTACAGCACATATGCAGTTTGATTGTCTAAAGGGCTGTTTACAACCATCTTCATGTGTTATTTCAACAGGAAAAATTGTACTGCATTTGTTTTTTAAGCAAACGAGACTGACTGCAATGTATTGTTGGCAAACATGTTTGGGTTCCAATGCAATGGGTGCATCCAGCACAATAGAGCAGTCAGGTTCACTAAGTAGCTGTGGGGATTTTTTTCTGCTGGATGCCACAGTTTCTTGTCATTTTACTGAGCTCAAGAAAAGACTGCTACCAAAATGAGCACTTTTTTTGAGAGTTGTCATTTCTATAAGAAGTGTCAAAGGGAAGATATTCAATTTAATTTATCTGACATGGTACAATAAAATCATGCATGTATATAATAAAAACATGAAAAAAAAAAAAATTATATATATATGTATATATATAAACCAAAGAACAAATATATACCGAAACATGTTCTTTTCTTTATACATTTTTTCTGTTCATGCTCTTATCTTTGAAACATTTCTGTCAATCAGTTGACAGAGGAAGTCCCATTCTTTCGTGAAATTCCCTCACATAAAGAAAAACATTTTTGTTCTTAATAAGTTTCTCTCAGACTGACAGATCGCTGTTAATATTGATATGAAATTTTAGGAATAGCAAAAAATGAATAATTTTCGTTTAATGTACTCTTGAAGCATTTTGACATATAATTTTTTTTTCCTGCTATTAACCATTTAGGTGATACAGAGCATGAGAGACAGACATTTGGCTATTATATATATATATATATATATGTATACACATACACACACACAAGCTACTATATAGCCCATCAAAGGTGATGGGGCAAGTACTACCACACCCATCCCATAATATACCCTAGCCTCACATCTCACAGCTGACTGAAATAAATAAATTCTGTAAAATCAAGCTTGACCATCAAAGAGGCAGAAAAGTGCAGTCGAGGCAGTCAAACATTGGTAAATTCTTTTGTAAGCCAATCAAAACTAAGATCATTCATGAAATGAATTTGTGGCATATTCATAGAATAATCATTGGTAAAAATCAGTTAGATGAATAACTTCTAATACGTAGAAAAGACAGTGAATTTTGGTAACACTGCAATCCAACAACAGCTTTTATTTCGTGCTGCTTAGCAAAAAGTATAACAAAATTATAACCTAATATTGTTGTTAGTCTATGTACTGAAAGTGTAAAATGAAATGTATAGAAAACAAAACTGGAAAAATATTTGTGGATTTCTTAATTTATAGTCTCCACTGATTAAAGTGGTTTGTTTTTATTATAATAAAGTGTTAGTGATATAACAGAAAATAGCTGTAAATAACAGAAACAATTTATGTATAAAATTGAATTGATATTTTTACTTTGATGATAAATTTTATGCACTTGGCTTTAGGCGAGGTGATCCCACACTATGTCTTTACTCTTATTATACCAACATTCACTACTCTTACAAGGTTTTACAACACACACACACATCACTAAAATTGTAATGGGCAGACAGTAATCGAACTATTCTACCTGGATAAATGCATTTTGGCTTTTATGATTCCTTCTATTTAAGAAATCAAGCGTGATGTGAAACACACTGGCTTTTATGTAGGTTAGATATATATATTCTACCAGATACTCATACTAATACATATTGTTTTAGGCAAAAAAATACTCAACACTTTAGAGCTCAGCCATCCACAATTAAACTATTTGGACAAGTAATGTAGGAAGAATGCCCTAAATATCACTACAGTACTGTCTTCATACTACAAAACCTAGGTTCTACAGTGAACACAGTGCTCAGTTTATACGCAAGTTGAATGATATCCGATGTTTCATTATGTAGGTGATTCTGCTACTTAAGAACATACTAAGTTCCATTATGGGATATATAAGCTAGTTATACATTAAGTCACATCTAATACTGAAATGAAACTTAGAACACATAACCAATTAATTTTGGGTGTATGTCTAAGTGATTTTAAGAATGTCTCAACTTGATATAAGCAAAACAAGAAAATGTTACTGACCTTTAGCTTATCTCTAGGCCACTGTAAAGAAGCCTCTTGAATAACCTCATAAACTTCAGAGACAGTCAAGTTTGCATCTACTGCATCAAGTCTAGCTGAGAAATAGGTCAGGACCTGTTAAATAATCAAGTAAACAACTTGGTTAATGTTGCTCACTCAAGTGTTAAAATGCTACTTTTATCAATCTGCTTAAAATTATTTCAATACAAGAAACAATTTTGAAAAAACAAAAAAAGGAACATATCATTATACATATATTGTAATATATTATATATTTTTTAATTCCCCTGTCTCCATCCTCTCATTATTATTTCACAAAATGGCACCAAATGTTATACTGGCTTTTTACTCAAATGAAATGTTCTTACAATGTCAAATAGGTTTATATCTTAAACGTAGTTCTTGAATAAAAAAAATCAGTTTAAATTTCTCAATACAATTTTCATTTTCCATACATCATAAATATAAAAATGGAAGCAATTATCATGATATGATGTGTAATATATTGTCTGGCCAAGGGATTTTACATGGTCAAGAATAACCCAAAACAATCATTATATTACTTTTAAAATCAGTCTTCAAAAAAAAAAAATAAAAAGACAGATATTCATGTTGTTTATACTTTTGGTAATGTAAAGATGCTGATATAGCTTCATAGATGAGAATATTTTGGCATCTTCATAAAACTGAATATTTCTGAAGAACTTTTACAAACAAATTTTTTAAACGATCTGTAACATTTATAATATTACATTACAATGTCCAGCTAGGAATGTAAAATTTTATAAAAGACATTATTGACATACTTGTTCAGTATCATTCAGCAATACTTGTAGAAGTTTGAAAATTTACACCACAAAATTTTATACAAATCTTGATGCCATTAATTATTGTTTGGTATTAGAGGTACCCACAAGATATAAACATTTGTAATTTCAAAAACCGAGAAACACTAAATTAAAAACAAATAAGTGACTAACAGCATGGTATCACACACATAACAGAAACTATCATGTACTAAGATAATTATGCACCCCAGGTTAAAAGTTTACCTACCATACATGGAAACTGACTGGGCCCATATATAAACCTTGATGAAATACTGCAGCCAAGTCTAACAATCACTAGAATTAAATATGCCATGACCTAATCAAGTTTTGGCCACCATTTGGCACTATTGATCAAAGAGACTTAAATACCAAAGAATACATTGAAAAATGCTACAAAACATTTTTTCACATAAACATATAAATTAACTTTCAAAAGGTAAGACACCATAAAACTGAAAATTCTTGATTTGGACAGGAAGCACCACAAGTAGGTGTCTATCTGAAACCACCAACCTATTTCTATACTATTCATTACCAGTGCAGCCCACATATTGCACCATATTAGGTAAATGTTGTCCATTAAAAATACTCAGTATAAAGAACTGATTGAAATCACACATTTTCTATGCAATATTCATAGCATTTTTGTTCAGAAATTTGTACGTGACTTGTGTTGTTCGACCCCTGTAATGAACAAAGTCAAAGACCCACAAAAAATGTGGTGCATAATTGTTTAGAAAAATGTAATTAAAAAATTGGCCACTGGAAATGCTAGGGTTAAGACTTTTAATGTATAACTGAAGACTGATGTGCTTTACAAACACTAAATTTCATAAAGTAGTATACCAGCAGAAATCATTATATAATGTAATAAAAGAATGTTTTGAACACATATATAGGAAAGAAAATCCTGTTATTTTATTTAACAAGAACATGTAGAGCATCTGCTCTTTGTCAGGTTTGATACCAAATGGCTTTCTTAAATAAGTTTTTTTTCCTGGATGTGTGCTTGAAAACAATTTCTTTTTTTTGTAATATGATAGGCTTTGACATCCTGTGGTCTATTATTTTACAAGTAAAAAAACAGTTTATTTTATGGACGATACCACATCTCAAAACATCTTGACCCTTATAACTTTTTAATGTGAGAAGACTTTTTTAGGCCTAATTTAAAAACAAATATACAAAAAACTGAAATGCAAAGAATTAGCTTGATTATGGTGAAATCAAAATGATCAAATCTGAGCAAAACCCTAAACATTTCAGAATGGTTGAGCTTTATACGCAAACTGTCACTAGAAATTTACTTAAATGTTTGTGTGACACATGGGTATGTCAAAAAAGACAAATGTTCCATTGAAGTTATTTATTATACCTTTTAAAATCAATTGTTAACTAGAAGGGCACTCACTAGAGTGCATACCTCTATCACACAGCATTGATCATATTCGGCTCTCAAAAAATACAAAAATGTGTCCGTATGTCTGCCGTTATCAACGGACATGAACCATTTTTGGCAGAACAATAAGGAATAATATTCTACATGCCCATCAAGTTTTGTCAAAATCCAATAATTTGTTACTGAGTTATAGAACAAAAACAGTGTGAAAAATCAGTCCCCATGTAAACAAATAGGATTTTTTTGATTTTCATGATCTTTCTCTGACCTTGAGCCTCCAAAAACTAATCACTTCTAAGTTGAATCATAGTCCAAATCCATTCAGCCATTTTCAAGAAATCTTGCTGACAAACACACACACATAAAGAAGTGAAAACATAACCTTCGTCCACCTTCGGTGGCAGAGGTAATGAATGATTTTTCTCTTCCTTTTTACCAGTAGGAAGATTTGCGAGTCTATGGGTGTAAGACTGAAAAACAAATTCAATAACTTAATAAAGTGAGAGTTGGAAACAATCACAATGCTTATATAAGCTGAGGCATAACTAAAAAAAAACAACACCGTACTTGATATTTTAGAAGTAAAGCTGCCACTTCAAAAAGGCTTTCACTACAAGATATGAATGTTTTAATCAACAAAGACCATTTGTTAAAAACAACAAAAACACAAAGTAGGCAAGGTTCATACTGTCTTCCAAACAAGGTACAGAGCAAGTCAGAGAGAGATTAAGTTCAAAGTCTTTATGAAAGAAACCTAAAAATAGATAGATACAAATTATTGACTCATTGCATTAAGTTTAGGCATCATTTCATGATACAAATTAATGATTAAACTACTTTCACTTTTTTACAAAAAGGTTGATAAGAAAGTTTCTTATCTAAGTCAAAAAGGAAAAAAACAAGAATTTCTTTTAATCATATTTTGTATTCAGCTCTCATTTTTCTGTCATGAAATCTCCTTATTAAATGATTAATTTCCTTAAAAACGTTTTTGGAAAAAACTTATAAAATGGAATGGCACAATACAGCATGAAAAGTAAACAGTAGACACAAACATTTTTATATTCTCCATTAGATTTCTGTTATATAGAAAATGTGCAGCTAAGACATTGTTCAACAATCAGAATTACCTTATTTGAAACATGGACAGTGATAAGAGAAACTATAAAGAAATGTTTTTTATTATATTCATCACCACAATCAACAATAAATAGTACACACACACACACACACACACACACACACACACACACATATATATTCCAAACAGTCTGTGTATTGATTTACTAACTAGTTTATAAGCCACTTGTATAAAATATTTCATTTTTTCAAAAACATCAGATTCAGGCCTAACTATGCAGTGACCTTTCAAGCCTAATTATGAAGTTTTAAGGCTACACAATCAAGTTGCTTCTCTAATATTAGCCTCAGGTCAAATCTGAAAGCTGCTGTGTGATTTTATAAGGACCATCCCAGTCGCTCTGCAGCTTGATGGTAGCCTGAGTACAGATTTAAGGTAGAAAACACTTGGTACCAAACAAAGCATCCAAAGCTCCATTAGTCCTTGAAAAAGGGTGTGTGAATCCTTCACTGTAATCTCATTAACATTATAGCAATTAAAACATAATTGGGTGGATCTATCTTTCATTCTGATCATGAAAAAATTTGAAGACCATGGATTTTGTGACTTCTCAATCAGTCCTGGACAATCTTTCCAGCTTCCTTTCTTTTTACAAGGGAAGCCATTATAATGGTTGCTTAATAGGGAGTTTGTAACCAATATCATTTCGACATTCTATAATGTAAGTACTGTCAAGATCATTTTGTCCTTTGGAGAAAATAATGGCTCTAAGTCAATTCTTGTGGCTTTATTGATGTCAATTACATACAACTTTGCTCATACAAGTTCTGCTAATGCATTGGGAGGTCTCCAGTTAATTTTAGTGTCTCAGCTGACCAACATTTCTGTTGTTTTGGTGAGGGCTCAACAATTCCTATCAGTTCCCACTGTTCAATTCTTTGCCCACACTTCAAATTTTGAGCACTGATTAAGAAATTTGCTACAACTATAGGAAAATATTGTTTGTTGGGTGGCACCATAGTATGTGCATCCACCCAATACTCCATTTGGCAATTTTGCATCACAATGTCTCTCCATAACTGCAAGTTCCATGAATCCAGAACCATTGGTGGCACAATAAATCTCAAACTCAGGAGAAATGGTGTAAGCTCTATTTACTCTTACCTTAGCCCTTGAAATAAACTGTTCTTGCTTCAATAAAAATAAACTACTTCAATAACCTGGATGACATTTTCTTCCCAAACATTTCCAGTGCCAACTTTTCAAAGTTATGCTTGCACAAATTGTTAATCAGAAAATCAAATCCTAAGTGACAATTATTTTCTGTATCTGCAGTATAGACGTTCTGCATATATCTTTACATTAACGTCTTCAGGATCATTCAATGGTATTGAGTGTCCAGTTACTCCACTAAGTTTCTCTTCACAGTCTGTGACCCAAGAGTTTTGATTGTAGTAATGTCTGATTACATTCTGTATCTATAATAATCTAACACTTGATTCCATTCTGCTATCTATATACCATAAACAGATGTCTCTTTTTTTCCACTCTTCATAGGTAGGGTTTATTTAACATTGGCTGATTTAGGCTCCACAAGGTCAGTTCTCAATAGTTTAACTGCTGCTGCCCTCTCTTTGGAACATCTATCTTCTTCTTGGATCAACATTCATTCTTGTAATACCCTTTCTCCCACAGTTATAAAACTCAATATTTTTTTATTTCTAGTTGCATTTTCCAATCTTACTGTTCCAGATGACTGATTTTCTTTACCTCTAGTTGACTACAGTCCATTTTTTCCATAACTGTTCTGGGCCATCACTTTTATATTTTTTTCAAAATCATCTACACATTTCTTCCATGCTTCCTGGTTTCTAGTTTGCCTTCCTGCAAAATTCTTCCTTTTGTTACCATGAACCATTCTGTTTTGTTGGCAGTAACTTACCCTTGACACCATACTTACTTCAACTTCCACTGTATGTGCTAAAGCTTCTTGGAAATTTTGGGGTCAAGTTTGTTTAACCTCATCCTGAATTTTGCTCGATATGCCTCCACTTGGTGTATAGACCAAACCTGTGCTCTAAAGCTCTAGTCAGAGAATTGTAATCCTGCTGATGATGAACTGGTAGATGACCCAAGACTGCTCATCTTGTTACCTTCAAGCTGTTTGCAAGCTGGATCACACTTTGTTCTTCTGAACAACCATTATCTCTATCCAACGACTAGAATAAAGTGAAATATGCTTCCCAAGGAACTGATCCATCACACTCTTGAGGTCATTTTTGCAATTGTGTTCTACTCTAATCCCAGAGATGGAAAAGTTGTGCAAAAGGGCAGAGTCCAGAAGTGTCCTGTAAGGGCTGTTCTTTATTTCATGGGTGATATGAATGGGCTGGAGAATGCTGAAATACTGTTTGTTTTTGAATCCATACAGTGTCTCTGGATGTGTGTACTTCCTCTTCTCAAATTCCAAATTTTTTGTATTTAATTTTTCTGCCTGTCTATTCTCTCACCTAGCTGATGTTAGACTTCAGTCTGCTGCTGGTTTGTTATTCTAGGTCTTTACTCTGCTCTTGTGCCTGTTGTACTAATGCTTTTTCTGAATTAGTGTTTTATTCTTGCATGACAGTTTTCAAAAATTCAAGCATTTGATATTCTTGATCAGCCTTCTTACTGATTTGAACCATCATTATTTTTGGTTGGAAATTCACCTGTTGAGTAAACCCTTTTATTTGCTGATTTGCTATTACTGCCTGTCTATCTATTATTTAATTAACCCTTTGCATTAGCTCATTCACATTCACAGTCTGTTGATCTAGCTTTCACTAATCTGCTGCATTAATTGAATCAACCATGCTGGTGAATCTTCTTTTCCAAATCCTATATCTTTCATTGCTCTAGTCTGCATGCTAGGTGCTTGATCCTTGAGTGTAGCCATGATGAAATACTTCAAATAGTCTCTCCTTTCTTAAATTTGAAAAAAAAAACAAAGTTGAAAGATCCCACTTCTGACACCATATTGTTACACTGGTCCAATTAAAACAATGATGAATATTCCATGCTTCAATTTGAATAAATGGTTTATTAGTCACTTTTATTTTCACTTTCCCAAACAATACCAGACTCGAGCCTAACTATGCAGTTGTTTCTCTAGTACCAGACTCTTGATTGATTCACTGAAGATACTACAAGACTCCCAGAAACTTCACTAATCATGCTACATGCTAATTCTTAACAAAAGCTGATTGCAAAACCCAAAAAACCGATTACATAGGATTTCACTAAATAGGGTGTAGATCAGATGTGGGAAGGAAGTTACTCATAATATTGTGACATAAAATACAGATGTTAAAATAACCTTGTAGTATATATATAGAAACTACCCTATATTTCTATGATTCCCAACCCCCATTCTTTAAAATTATTACAAAATGATGGTATTTGGAACAATAAACCCTTACCTTGATAGTTCTGTAATAATTACATAGCAAACCCCTTCCATGACAAATCAATAATACATACTACACATCTCAGTTTTGCTTTTTATTTTCTATAGAGTGCTGATTTTATCAACTACATACTTTTGATATAACTTATGGTATTAGTACTGTCTACATATATATACATATATGTATATATGAAAATTACTAGTTGTAAAAACTTTTTTGTTATCTGTATTATACAGGAATATTTCTAAAACAACATGACTGATACAAAGCAATATTTCTTACCGTTTCCAGGTTCTGTATTATATCCTGAAAAGTTGGATGAGTGCGAAAAGCTTCAAAGACATGACGTTTATAAAGAAGTGTATATATGAGATTGGGGTTGTGTCCTAACTGGTGTGTTAAACAGGAATTAAGGATTTCTAAAACCATCCGCAGAACCTCCTCTAAAACTGACAAATCAAGCATCTAAAAGAAGTAATTCAGCATTAGAAAAACCACAGTATTTAAAAACTTAAGTGTGATAAATCAAAATATCAGAAAATCAAGTTATTTCCTCATCTGAATGTTTTTCTTTTTAACAACTACAATAGTCTTAAAATAATGTATGCATTAATTACTGAAAAAAAAATTACCAAGAAAACAATTTTTGAATGCAATTATTACCTCAGTCATTGTAACCAGAAAACTTTATAATTTAGAAAAGAGAAACCCAAAAACCACTGCACAAGAGGGCGCATCAAAGTTACTTAGTCAAGAATATTATTTTATAATTGCTAATCAGCAGGGTGTGCAATAGTTGCCTTTTATTATAAGAATTAATCTTATGCAGCATGAAACTCCCCCAATTATATCTTCAACTGCTGCAAGTAAACCAAAGTTTGAAAAAAAAGTGTATCATCTCTCCATCAAGTGAAATAGTTAATCAATGACTTGTTTGGATTATTTTGCTATTACTGCACTTTCTACATCGAAATCCCAAAGTCCTAAAATAAATAAACAAATGAGGACACCACTTCCAACGGCAGTGAGAGAAGCTGACAGATACTGTATTTCAGGTAGAGCTGCTGCAGCCCTTACCTCAGCTGTTTTGGAAAATATGGGCATTATTCAAGAAAATGACAATGCTAAAATTGAGGATAAAAACAAGATACAACGTGAATAAAAAAAAATATTGAGAAACATTATTGACTTCTGATGAATCAAATTGTATTAAATCTATCTACTTTGATGATTGTCATTAAAAATGTGCAAAAACATTATAAACGTATAGTCATGGAACAGCACATAACTTTGGTCAGTGAACCTGAATCAATTTTCCTGGATCACATTTCTCCTTCTTCCAGAACATCAGAAGGTATAAAAAAATTCTATCATTCAGTGGTTTAATAATAAAATTTCATCTGATCATTTAGCCGCTGTAGGCTGTGACGGCACATACGTCAATACTGTAAAAAACAGTTGGTGTTATGTGATTTCTTGAATTTCACTTAGATTGGTTAATTTGTTTGTTACATGCCAATAAGTTACCCCTACCTCATCTAATTACGCATCTTGTCGGAGGAGCTCTAAGACCGTCTGCTTTTTCTGGTCCTCTTGGAAAGAAAATGACGATCCGTGAATCACTGCCTTTAGTAAACTTTGTTTCAGTCGAACTTACAAAGCCATTACCGAAAAGTGACCATCCTGATGATCTTAGTACAGATCAAAGATATTTGTATGACATGTGCAATGTGGTAATGTCAGGTCATTGTTCAGGAGAACTTGCTTTGTATGACATGTGCAATGCGGTAGTGTCAGGTCATTGTTCAGGAGAACTTGCTTTGTATGACGTGCAATGTGGTAGTGTCAGGTCATTGTTCAAGAGAACTTGCTTTGTATGACATCTGCAATGTGATAATGTCAGGTCATTGTTCAAGAGAACTTGCTTTGTATGACATGTGAAATGCGGTAGTGTCAGGTCATTGTTCAAGAGAACTTGCTTTGTATGACATGTGCAATGCGGTAGTGGAAGGTCATTGTTCAAGAGAACTTGCTTTGTATGACATGTGCAATGTGAT